GAAGTTCCCTCACCATGCTTGGTCATTTGAATGGTTTTTTTTTTTTTTTTTTTTTTTTTTTTTTTTTTTTTTTTTTACTAATAACACACCCTTTAGATGAGAAAAGACACCTCGTCCTGGGAGAAGCTGAGCTCCTGTGCCATCAGGGCTGTCTGGTCAGTGCAGAGCAGTGCCAGACTCATGGCGGGGTCCGCCAAGAGCCTTAAAGTGCATGAGCTTGGGAAACCGCACAGTTTTCATCTACAAAATCCACATGGGACTGGAGAAATGTGAGCGAGCTTAGAGTACGCAGAGCAGGAGCGATGCTGCCTCCGGCAGGTTGTCTCCACTGGAGAGCGGCCAGGAGACACGACTCTTACTCTGTTTCCAGCAATTAGACGCCAGAGTGGCACCATTTACTCGTGCACTGCTGGGCACTGGGCTCACTCTAAAGCTGGCCCTGCTGGGGGGGGTCCGTGCTTGGGTGGCGGGTGTCAGACACCAAAGACCAGTCATGAGGGGCTGATGTCCTTTTCTGCCACTTCCTAAAACCCGTGTAAAATGAGCCCTTTCCAGTATTTTTCAAGACCATTTCTGCCATCTTTTTCTCAAGCACCTCATAGAAATGGTTCCCAAAATGTTCTCAGAGCGCAAGGAGCTAAATGTCATATTCATACTCAGGTAAATTACCAGTATGTTTTCTTCATATGTCCTAACTGGTGCTTTTCAGGAAAATCTTTTTCAAGGACAGGAAATTGGTGAGCAGTATCCATGAGTATTTTAATAGCAGGGGTATTTCCAGCTAACTTTTCCTTAAGCAAAAAATTCTTTAGTGTTATGCTTTTAGAAATTATTTTTTTATTAAGGCAACTAAATAACTCCTGTTGATACTTCAAATCACTTTTAAAAATAAATCCTTACAATATTTTCCATGATTTTCCCCTCAGGGGGGAAAGCAGCAAAAACTGAGTATAAATTAAAACCAAGAATAACTCTAATAAGCAGTGACGCTCCATGCTTTAAATGTACATTAATTTAAGGACACGCATCCTACTACCTCTGCACTGGGCCAGAGTCAGCCAAGATGCAGCTCAGAGTGTGGCCAGCTTGTCTACTTAGTAACAACTCATCCAGGTGATTTTTTCCCAAAGAGGAATCTTAGCAGGCAGGAGGAGGACGCAGAGGAAAGGCCAGCACAGCCCTCAGCACGCGCCGTGCGTGTTGATGGCTCATCCCATGCTTCCAGGCTTGAAGCCCATTCTCAGTGTAAGTTGTGGCTCAAAAAAAATTCTCACAACCTCTGCATCTGACTTAGAATTAGAAATCCTGTCACTACTGTCTCAGAATTGACAGGCAACAGGCAATGCCACATTTGCAGACGCTGATCCAGTAAGCCCTCTGGCCTCGACAGAGCGCATCACGCCTGGCGTCAGCCTTCCTGAGTGACAGGATTTTCTAACAGCTTTGTTTACCTATCCAAACAGTAAGTGGAATGAATCTAAAGCCAGACATAAGCATCGCAAACTGTCATGTAATTAAGAAATACTTCAATTTTCTGTAAGTTTTCCCCCCACGTTATCAGATGATTATCAGTTCAACTTTTTGGTTTTGTAGACTCATGTAACTACCTGAACACCATATACCCTTCTGCAAGTGGATGACACATGAAAGAATTAGGTTTGTGTGTAAACAGCAGTAATAAAGTTGAAATGTTTATCTTAATGGGAAAGGCCAATTTTGGTCTTTTAAAAATGTCATGTTTCTATGTGTTTAATCCCTTTTTTTCTATTTCATGCATTTTAACAAATAATCTACACTGGCTAGAAGCAAGCTGATGGACCCAGTTTCAGAATTCATTAGAGAGCCTGTAAGGACAGTAATGATGGTCAAGGAGAGAGCGTTATCCAGGAGAGGACTTCTGCAGTGCTCAGGAACTAGTAAGGCAGAAGCTAAGACAGGAAGAAAGGTAAGCGCAGAGAGCGGGGTGCAGGCCGGCACCATTCTCTTGCACTGAGACCATTTCTTCACAGAAATGCTAAAATAGTGACAACAGGCCTGTAAGATGTTTAAATATCATTTATTGGCCAGTGTGAATAGCATTGTTAATAGCAAAAATGTGTTCATAGCTTCCAGCCATCTTTTTCAATACAACGTAAACATACATCTTCTCACTTTAAACTCCTGACCTCTGGGACCTAAAATCCTCCCTGGCCGGCAGACGCTGCAGAGGTCACATGAGCAGCCACGTGCAACTTCCTTAACCACCTTGGGTGGGACTTGTTTTATCATAAAACATTAACATGATTTTTTGAAAATTAAGCAAAATGAATCTCTTCTCACTTGTTCTCTAAAAATACCTGCTCTCTTGAGTCTAAGTTTATTACAAATCATACAAATCACTGGGTTTTCACTTCCACACCTTCACAATCCCATCTCGGGAAGCAGTGACAATGAAGCCCTGTGTGGTCTGGAACGTGGCCACATCTGTGATGATGTCGTGGTGACCCACAGGCAGAGACTCTGGCCCCCTCCGAGGCGTATCATCACTCGGTCCTACCTTCTGCTTATTCTGAATTTCCTGTTTTGTGATTAAAAAGGAGAAAGCAGCAGTTAAAAGGCTGTACCACATTCTCTGCCTCTTAAGTACTCTGGATTCTTATGGCACAAGAGGGGAGCAGCGTCTTCCAGAAGCCAAAGTGACGTTCCAGCTTCCAAGTCACTGGATCCCATGCATAGCCCCTTAAACTGGCATAGCTTTCAGCAACTCAAGGTAAAAAGTAGGTGTGCCAGCATTTCTCCTGCTCACAGCCTTGAAGGAGCAGGGCTTCCCCCTATCGAGCACTTCCCAGGTATGAGTCAGTTTTGCTGCTTAGACTAGCGCTGTGATCTGTGCCAAGTTCCACTGTCTGGGGACAGAGCTCGGCTCTACTCACCTGTGTGTCAGACCTTTCCACAACTTAGTGTACAGAAAATTTAAAATACACATCTTTAATCACAGTTCCACTCCTGCCCGAGATGACTTTAAGCCACGCAGAGCAATTACTCGTACCTGCACGACCTCAGTGCCTTCAATGATCTTCCTGTAGTAGGACACAGACGGAGAACTGGTGCCCCCTGCGACGACGTAGGACCGCTCCGGGTAGGCCAAGTCCCAAAACCTGGGAGAGGAAGGCAGCGGGACCGTCGCGAACCCAATCATGGCTGCTTTGCGCTTATCGAGCACAGCAAGGGTTTTAGTGTTAGGAAAAGTGTTTTCTCAGCATTACCTTATTTTCATGTCCGAGCCAGCCGTCAGCAGGATAGGGTTTCCATCTGCAGGACTACAGTAGATTCCATGCACACTGTGAGGAGAAGGCTTAAAGAAACAGACAGTTGCAATAAATGATGCCATTCTAGAGACAAACACATGCATCTTCTATACTTTCTTTGGAACTTCATGTTCGGCTTCCTAAAACTTTCTATTGGGGATGCTAAGGACCCCTACTAAAAGATTTCTCTTTAATTGCCCAGGGTTCTTAAGGGGTGAAACGCAAGTGTGGGAGAGGACCGTGTTCCCCACTTCAATCTGGGCTCTTCCTAACCCAGATTTTCCAAGACTCAAAGGGATTTCACCCACCTTAGAGGTACTAGGAACCCAAGGAGTTAGAGCACCCACAGCCCCCCTAGTTCATTTTGCAAAATGTAAGTGCTCAGGAGGTAGGAAATTGCACTGTTCTTTAAAATAAAAACTGAGGCCAAACCTGTGTCTCAGAAAGCGGCGGTGCACTGCTTGCCCAAAGAGTGAATCTCCTGTCACCCGTCTCCATGTCCCACATGGACACTTCGTTGTTGCCCTGCACAGCTGTGGGGACAAGGGCAGGGCTGTTATCCCCCAGGACTGCGGCTCGGCCATTCAGCCGCTTGTATGTACCCACCCTGCAAGCTGCTACTGTAGCCCTGGCGACAGAGGGAACTAGGAGGAGGGAAGGCGAGTCAAACTGATTCTGGATTAGACAATGGTGGACACAGGTCCACTTAAAAGGGGAAGAGCCATCCAGGGGATGGGAATCAGGGCTGTGGAGATTTCTCACTGGGCCTGAAAGAACAGGTAGATCATGCTAGGCAGAATGAGGGGGAAAACTCCCTGGTGGTTCTGGGACACAGGAGTGACAAGCTTGACTGGAGCACTCAACTTTTCTGCACAGTCCCATCTCCACCCTCCTGCCCTGTGTTGCACTGTCCTTGTAAAGCTCCCAGACCTGTGTAAATAGTCCTCAGAGAACAAATCCTCACATTGCCCAGCCTCAGGACGAGTGCAAGGGGGCAGAGCCCTTAACGTTTCTGGGCAAGAACTCGAGTTAGGAGGACACGGCCTCAGCAGAAAAGGTTACGGTAGTTTAGACAAGCTAACAGTAGAAAATGCCCAGATCTATCTAATTTCAAAAAGCACCACATCGTGGCTAGTGGTCTGACAAAGTCAAAACTGAAGACACTTCCTGAGCATCTCGCAGGGGAGCTGCCGTTCCCTGGGAGAACACACCAGGCGGGCTTGGCTTGGGGTAAAAGAGGAGCCAGCAGAGAGCAAACCAGGCGCTCAGACTGGACCCATTAAGACTATTTCAGGGTATCTTTGGAAAAACTTTGATATACCCACCTAATAAAGGTGGCATTCATCTCTAACACCCTGCAGCAGGCTGCAATCTAACAGTGGAAGGTGAGGAACCCACAGACAGGAGAAATGTG